CGAGACTGTAATCTTTACCAGAGCAGAAAGCCTCATCTTTCTTCCTGGGAGCTGGATGGTGGTTTTGAACTGCTTACCTTGTGGTTAATAGTCCAATGCATAACCACTGGACCACGAGGGCTCCTTATAGCAATGAGTGGTTAACTTATGGTTAACCATTTAACGAGTAGTTAAATTATGTCCAGTCTCCCTCTACTACTTAAGCAGTACTCTGCTTAAGGAAGAAACTGTACTTTAGAATTGTTATTAGGAGCCATCAAGTTGGCTATGACCGATACCAACCATATGCACAACAGAACAAAACACTGCATGATTCTATGCCTTGCTCACAGTTGTTCCCATGCCTGAGCCCGTTGATATAGCCACTGTGTCAGTCCATCTCCTTGAGGAACTTCCTCTTTTTTGCTGCCCCTCCACTTTACCAAACATGTTGTCCATCTCTAGGAACTGGTCTCTCCTGACAACATGTCCAGAGTATGTAAGATGAAGTCTTGCCATCCTTGCCTCTAAGGAGCACTTTGGCCTTACTTCTTCCGATACCAATTGGTTTGCCTTTTTATCAGTTATTGGTACGTTCAATATTCTTTTCCAGCATTACAATTGGAATGCATTGATTCCTCTATATTCTTCCTTGTTCATTGTCCAACTTTTACATGCAAATGATGCAATGGAGAATACCATAGCTTGGGTCAGATGTACCCTAACCCTCAAACTAACATCCTTGCTCCGCAATACTCTAAAGAGGTCTTGGGCAACAGATTTACCTAATGCAATACAATCTTTTGTTCTCTTGAATACTGCTTCCATGAGCATTGATTGTGGATCCAACTAACAATATCCTTAACAACTTCACTCTTTCTTCCTATTTATCATGATGTTACCTACTCGTCCAGTTGTGAGGATTTTGATCTTCCTTACATTGATTTGTAACCCATACTGAAGACTGCAATCCTTGCTTTCATCAGCAAGTGCTTCAAGTCCTCCTCACTTTCAGCAAACAAGGCTGTGTCCTCTGCATATTGCAGGTTGTAAATAATCCTTCCTCCAATATTGATGCTGCACTCTTCTTATAACCAGCTTCTCTGTTGATTTACTCAGCATGCAGATTGAACAAGTATGGTGAGAGAATACATGCCTGACACACCGTTCTCGATTTTAAACCATGCAGTATTCCCTTGTTCTGTTCATGCAACTATCTTTTGACCCATGTAAAAATTCCAAATGAGCACAGTGAAGTATTCCAGAATTAACATTCTTCTTAAGGTTATTCACAGTTTATTATGATCCTCACAGTTGAATATTCCCACAGTCAGTAAAACACAAGCAAGATCTTTCTGGTATTCGCTACTTTTTGCCAACATTCATCTGACATCAGCAATGATATCCCTTGTTCCACATCCTCTTCTGAATCCAGCCTGAACTCTGGCAGTTCCCTGTCAATGTATCGTTGCAATTGTTGTTAGGATGAGCTCAAGCCAGATTGCATTTGTGCGTGAGATCAGCGATATCGTTATGTAGTTTGAGCATTCTCTTGGGTCACCTTTCTTTGGAATGGGCACAGATAGGGTTCTCTTCCAGTCAGTTGGCCAGGTAGCTGTCTTCCCAATTTCCAGTGGATATTCTGTCAGTTACTGGAGCCTTGTTTTGGGCTAATGCATTCTGTGCAGTTTGAACTTCTTCCTTCAGCACCATTGGTTCTTGCTCATATGCTACATCCTGAAATGGTGTACTGCCGACTAGTTCTTTTTGGTCTGGTGACTCTGTGTATTCCTTCCATCTTCTCGATATGTTCTGCATCATTCAATATCTTGTCTATAGAATCTTTCAAATTTTCACTTTGAGGCTTGAATTTCTTTTTGAGTTTCAGATTCTGAGCATGTTCTTTCCTTTTGATTTTCTAATTCTAGGTCCTTGCTCAGTTCATTATATAATATTTTGCTTTATCTTCTCAAACTGCCCTTTGATTTCTATTCAGTTTCTTGACTTAATCCTTCCATTTGCTTTAGCTACTCTACAATTAACAGCAAGTTTCAGAGTTTCTCCTGGCATCTACTTTGATTCCTTCCTGTACAGTCTTTTTAATGACCTTTTGCTCTCTTCAAGAATGATGGTCTTGATGTCCTCCCACAGCTCTTCAGGACTTCTATCATTGGTGTGCAATGAGTCAAATTTGTTCTTGAAACTCAGATGGGATGGACTCAACATT